CTTCTTCTCAAAATATTCACGTTCCTGGGATGCGAACATTCGCCTCAATATTTAAAATAGTGAATCGCAATCGACTTTGGAAAGTCATGCGGAAAATCTGATGGCCCAAATGATTTAATCAAATAGTGAGACAGCTTTACGACAGGATATGTGGCAGCCATTACGCTCGTGCTCACCTCCCGTAGTCTTGGCATTGCCTTGCCTTCGGATTCGGGGAGGGGGATAAGGGAACAGATAGCGTGGTAGATACTGCGCGATTCGGCTTCAGAAAAATTAATTCAAGAGTAAGTCGCTGGTGCTGCGCTCACTCGCTAGGCACATAGCGGCGTCGGCGCTCACGACAGTCGAGCTGTTATAAGTAATCACTCCGCTCTCTCCCTCTCTCTTAGCCTTACCATTACCCGTTCCTGCTACTGTTTGTGCTAATGTATCTGATGAAGAATCCGCGATGGACTTCGAGACGTCAGGCGAATTAAAGTCTTGTCCCAGCGATCGCATCTTCTTCTTTTACTTGCCAGTACTTTTCCAACTCCAAAGTTCGATCCCCAGCCCTAACTGCCGACCTTGGCTTGCTGGCAGTTCTCTGTTGTCTGCGATTCCCCATTATGCACCGGTCAGGTTTGTTTCGGAATTTTCACAGATATAAGCAGGTTACCTGGGAATTACCAATCCCGTGTGCACTCACGACTTCTTATGGAACGCTCAAACAGGTGAGAAGACTAAGTCCTACACTGTTTCCTGCTTCAGGCTACAGATTACTCCCAAGATGACTTAACTTCGACAGTCCTACCCATCAATTGGTTCTCTGTTTTAAAATATTCTACATATAAAGCTCCAGTCCGCCGTTGGCTTCTTCAAACAAATACCTCTACCCCACAAAATTCCCTAGAGCTTTGTGGAGATAGTCACTTGTTCGCCATATCCTCAAATGATTTATTACTAGTGCTATTTGATACAAGGGGGAATAAAGCATCATAGACGAAAGTTGTTTTTTTACCAACGAAATGAACTATACAAACAGAATATCGTTCGTATCTCTTTACGGAAGTAAGTCTGAATATGCATGGTGGTTACACTTGCCAACACAGTATCGTTTAATCAGTTTTAACTTTGAAGCATGCAGCTTTGCCAACTGTTGATTGGCCTGAAGATAACTTTGGTGGGTGTAGGCCCGGAACCCGGACTAGAAACTACATTTACATACGAATAAAGAGGCAAGTAATCGCCATTTTTTGAGACCAATTGATGATTTAAAAAACTGTGTAAAAGGCGCAAGATCGCTTTTAAACTACGACCGCGAGGTAGAAGGTGCGATTTGTAAGTTTGCCAACCGACGGTATCACTTGATCGTCTTCTTGGTAATAAATATGTACTCTATGGCACTGCCACCCGTTTGGGATCTGAACTGCCCATGATGCGTGGATAACGTGGTTGTGGCACGCGTAGACGGATAGTTTAGCTTTGTTAGCCACTGCGCCTGATCCCACCTTCGACTTCCTGGACTTTGTCACGATAATCGGCTCAGAGGGTTAGGAAGAAAAGAGTATCAGATAGTGCGCAAGTCTCATTGTAAACTAACTCACAGTGGAATCGCCGTCACCGTACCCAGCTTTCTGTAGAGCATACGATGGGCATCACTGATCACGACGATTGAGCTTGTCTCTGTGGCAAGTCCATCCCTTAAGAGCTGCATTCCCGTGGGTACTCGTGTATTCTCGCTTTAACTTCCGATGAGTTATAGAAAAAGTGAAAGACATTGGACGAATGAACCCCTGTCCCATAGACTGAATTTATGCTCCTCGTTCATCCTCCGGATGGTGCCTTTTCGCATGCATCAGGAACACTGCCCTGATTTGCAAGTAACTGAAGGACCGAACGATACTGATAAACTGAAACAGGCTGATGGATCCAGTTTTTAGGAGGGATGTTTTATGAAAATTACTTTTCAATCACGTCGATCAACTTCACGTTCTGAGCCTGTATGGTGAACGAATGAAAAATATGAACTCACCAGATTAACTATTCCATTGCTTTATTATTTGGAGGACTAGTTCAAGAGTCTGGGAGGGGTGGTGTTCCGAACTGGTGAAAAGGTGGAATAATACAATGACCAACAAACACACGGAAGATTGGAAAGGCCATTTCTGATTTAGTAGTCGTAAGCAGCTAGTCAGAGGTAACAATTTGTTTTTCAATCTGTGGCTCGAACACGCGACCTGTTGGTTATAAGGCCAAAACCTTGACCATTGAGCCACGGTTTTGTTGTCCTGTTAACGTCGAACGAGTACATTGACGATGGTAAAGGACGCTTACTGTTCGTGTTAGAAGACGAGTATTTTCCGTTGCCCAGACATCCAATTATATCTAAGATCTCGGAGCTGCCGCTACGTTCTGGTATAAGCACGCCCATGTCGACTACTATTAACGTGGCTAGAAGATCTGTTAAAAATTAGTGCCCAAACGTCAACCCAAGGGTCATTTATTCACAGTTATCATAGAGCCTTGGGGGTTTTGTCAGCATGCTCCAATTGGAAAACTGACAAGCAGTCACGTTCAATCCACTCGGTTGATCAGCAGTGCCCACACCAAGTGGAGATAGTTAGCGTCTTTACGAATGCTCTGAGAAGAGTAATAGGCACGTCCAGTCTATAGCAGGCGATCACATACTTGGTGATAGATACTTTCGCAAAGAACAGCTTTTCCTAGTAGATGGTTTGTTGTTTAGAATCGTGCTTCTGTGATTATACCGAACATTCAGCATCGTGCAGTTGTACGGCTTGTTTGCTTTACTAAGGATGCATTGTGCACGGTCGTGAAGTTAGATGTTTCAACAACTTAACACGCAGAGCATCTTGGTTGTAGTTATAACAGACGAAATGCTGGGCCCTCACGGAGAAATTTAATGAATGAGTTAAGTGTCTGACCCACGGAGACATTTGACCGAGATGTTGCGCGTGCCAAATAAACAGGAGTAATCCGACATTCTTTTTTGTTGTGACCATGTAAAACAGCTAAAAGTCACAACAAATACACTATGAAAAAGAACCGACTTCGGAAGGATATCATTAATGATAAGCAAGGAAAAGGGTCGAAAAAAATATTAGGAATATTATTTTAATTGAGGGACCCTAAGAGACAAAGATTGAGTCCAGAAAAATTGACGCGGGAAGTAATATGACGGACAGAACGAACTCCAAAAGACAAATGTGTAGCGCTGCCCGGTCAAAACAGTTTAATTCATCACGACGGAGGCCGCTGCATAGCTCACAGATGAATCTCTTTCATTGTGGCACTTATTTGACTGAGCATATTGCACAAATTTGAGAGAAAAAGATGAACCCTGTTGAGTATTGCGTAGGGTGTTCATGGCATGTAGCAGAACACCGATGGGATGGCGGCCGCAGATGGTATTTCTGTATTTCTTTATGTAAGTGTCAAATGCTTCCGGGTTCATGGTCTCAATTGAATCCATACCCTGGCGAAGGATAAAAAATGTTTAACTATAGTGACATGTGAAAAAAGGCCAGAGGGAATTAATTAAACTCGACTAATGAAATGTTAATCCTGACCGCCACCGAAGAAGCCAACGTCATATAATTGACTGAAATGAAGACCAGTATAAGTGGTATTGCAAGTATCGCATCTGACCTCGATAACCAAATGGTCTTTCGATGGAGTAAGTTTCGTCATTAAGGTTATTACATGGTTAAAGTGGCTTCTATAGCCCAAAGGAATACAAGACCGATCAGCGTAAGACAGCTAAATTGACTGCCAAAAATTATTTGTTTATAGGATCATGCAGTGGATTTTATCAGGTGGATACGAGACTATTGTGGGTCCAATAAGAACAATAATTATTAAAACATATAGAGGATTGTTTACGTGATTTAAGAAGACAATTTAGTTTGTTTAATAATTATAAAAAACATGGAATTAGTCTTAAGGTAAGAAAATATGCACGACTAGAAAATGATAAATATAGGACAACTAAAAGGGCCTGGCATTACGAAGTACCATTTTGTCGAGGTTCTTGATCGATTGCCAAATTTCGCCCTGTTTTTGGTCGTAATACGTGTATCGGAAGCGACTTCCTAAAGATTAAAATAGGTTAGATTTCATTTAATCGAAGCAAATCTATAAAAATATGACATACCCCAATGACAGAAATCGGAAGAAATTACAAACAGCGTCCGCGGATCCTGGAGATAGGGAGCGAGGATTTCACCATACACGCGCTCCTTTTCAAAAGACAGGCTGCCAACCATGATGGGAACGATGGTAAAGGTCTTAGCCCGGCTATGGAGACAAAAAAACGTTTGTAAGGCGAAAAAAAGGTAGTATATCCATTTTTTTATGAAGTAGAAGAATTTGGAACACTACTTGATAACCCGGTGTGCATGAATTCCAAAATACCCATTAACTGTTTTGTCATGTTCACAAAAACGTAGATAAGATTTATGGAGTCGCGGGATTTCCATAACATCAAAACATTCTAAACGGAGTTTGAGTATCGTTCGACCCAAGAACACAACTTTATGGTATTGACTTTGTGCATGAGCACAAAAGATTTCACTGAAAATGCCCGCGATCTTTTGATATCTCACATGCTCATTTTAATGACTTCAACTTCAAATACACATATGATGGGTGCATTGGAATGCATACCCAATTCTATTGTTGCTGTAACTAAGGTACTGTGGACACTGAACTAGGTCAGCGTAAGGATAGACTCCGTTTCAGGCCAAACTATCACCGCTCGAAATAAACTTAAACAGCATCGGATACTCGAAAAAAAACAATAAACCACATACCTTTCCATAACCTTCGCTACATAAGGCAGTTGCATTTCAAGAGAGTGTTCGTCTTCGTCTTCACTCATTCGCAGGTCAACAAATTCACCTGATTTCTTGAGTGCCTTGCAAACTAAAGGACTGGTATACATCATGCATCCGTACCTTCCAAATCCACCTTAAGATCGTATAACGGGGTCTGTAAGTAGTCTGCAACTGTGAGGGCGCATGAATTATCCAGATAGAGGTGATGGGAA